CATAGATTATTTTTTTTTGGCTCAACTTAACCAGCAATGACATGAACAGACTATTCATGAATTCAGCCCCTGAGCATTGTGATTTTTAGCTCAATTTTAAAAGGTGTCAGTGAACATTCAAAGTTTTCCATTTAAATAACACGTAAAGATTTTTCCATTAGGTAATATGGTTTACGATGTGGGCGCAGCATCGTGGATTCTTGTCAGTCTTCCTGTGGGCCCATCTTAGAGTATTTTTTTTTCAATTCAATAATTCGTATATTTTAAAACTTTGAAAGGTGACAAAAACCAAAATATGCGAAAAAATATCAATAATTTAGTGTATATTGATTAAAAATTTTTATATTTAGCATTGAATTGAAAAAAATTACTCTCAGTTAGATTTTTTAGGAAATTATGCTCTACAAGAATCCGCGATATAATTTTTTTTTATCGTAAACCGTTTCAAAGTTATGGTACTTTTAATGGAAAAAAAAATTATTAAGCATTAGGAAAAACTTTGAATTATTCCACTGTGATTGACTCCCAACACGCTAAAAATCCTGACTTCCAGGGATATTTTTTCTCGGTTATTAGGTTCATTTTAACCAAAAAATTCCATAGATTTTTTTTTTGGCTCAACTTAACCAACAATGACATGAACAGACTATTCATGAACTAGTCATCCTTTAGAGACAGGATTTTTAGCTCAATTTTAAAAAGTGGGTGTCAGTGAACATTCAAAGCTTCTTCCATTTAAATAACACGTAAAAAGATCTTTCCATTAAAAAGAATTATTAACTTTGAAACGGTTGACGATAAAATGATCGTGGATTCTTGTAGTATTCATCAAGCCTTAAAAATCTATCTCTGTATATTTTTTTCAATTCAATAATTCGTATATTTTAAAACTTGAAAGGTGACAAAAACCAAAATATGCGAAAATATCAATAACGTATATTGATTAAAAATTTTTATATTTAGCATTGAATTGAAAAAAATTACCTACTTCAAAAATCGGTCAAACAATTAAATTGATATAAATAATATAAAATAATTTTTTTATCGTAAACCGTTTCAAAGTTATGGTACTTTTAATGGAAAAAAATTACGTGTTATTTAGAAAACTTTGAATAAGGTTAAAATGAACAACCAAATAACCGAGAACTAAAAAATATCCCCAGAAGGCAGGATTTTTAGGTCAATTTTAGGTGTCGGTGAAACATTCAAAGTTTTCTAAATAACACGTAATTTTTTTTTCCATTAAAATTTTTTTTTTTTTTTTTTTTTTTTTATTTGATAAAAAAATTTATATCGCGGATTCTTGTAGAGCATAATTTCCTAAAAAATCTAACTGAGAGTATTTTTTTCAATTCAATGCTAAAATAAAAATTTTTTAAATCATATAACTAAATATTGATAAATTTTTTTTTTTTTTTTTAATTTAAAAATGTTCTTTCAAAGTTTTAAATAATACGAATTATGAATTGAAAAAAAAAATACTCTAAGAATAGAATTTTTTAGAAATTAGATGGTCTCCAATGAATCCGCGATGTAATTTTTTTTATCTAACCGTTTTCAAAGTTATGGTACTTTTTATGGAAAAAGATTTTTTTTTTTAAATTATTTTCAACAAGACTGCAAACTTTGAATGTTCACTGACACCTTTTAAAATTGAGCTAAAAATCCTGTCTTCTGGGGATATTTTTTAGTTCATGAATAGTCTGTTCATGTCATTGCTGGTTAAGTTGAGCCAAAAAAAAATAACTTTTTTTTTTTTTTTTTTTTTTTTTTTTTTTTTTCTAGAAAAAAAATCAAAGGAAAGCAGGATTTTTAGCTCAATTTTAATAAGGTGTCAGTGAACATTCAAAGTTTGCCAAATTTGAAATAACACGTAAAAAGATCTTTTTCCCATTAAAAGGTAACCATAAACTTTGAACGGTTTAACGATAAAAAAATTTACCATCGCGGATTCTTGTAGACCATCAAATTTCCTAAAAAATCTATCTAGAGTATTTTTTTTTTTCAAATTCAATAATTCGTAATATTGTTACAAACCTTTGAAATGGTGGACAAAACCAAAATATGCGAAAAAATAATCAAATAATTTAGTGTAATTGAATAAATTTTAATTTAGCATTGAATTGAAAAAAAATTACTCTCAGTTAGATTTTTTAGGAAATTATGCTCTACAAGAATCCGCGATATAATTTTTTTTTATCGTAAACCGTTTCAAAGTTATGGTACTTTTAATGGAAAAAAAAATTACGTGTTATTTAGAAAACTTTGAATGTTCACCGACACCTAAATACCGCTAAAAATCCTGCCTTCTGGGGATATTTTTTTCTCGGTTATTAGGTTCATTTTAACCCATAAATTCCATAGATTATTTTTTTTTGGCTCAACTTAACCAGCAATGACATGAACAGACTATTCATGAACTAAAAAATATCCCCAGAAGACAGGATTTTTAGCTCAATTTTAAAAGGTGTCAGTGAACATTCAAAGTTTTCCATTTAAATAACACGTAAAAGATCTTTTTCCATTAAAAGTACCATAACTTTGAAACGGTTTACGATAAAAAAATTTACATCGCGGATTCTTGTAGACCATCAAATTTCCTAAAAAATCTATCTTAGAGTATTTTTTTTTTCAATTCAATAATTCGTATATTAAAACTTTGAAAGTTAAAAAACCAAAATTGCCGAAAAGATATCAATAATTAGTGCTATATTGATTAAAATTTTTATATGTTAACATTGAATTGAAAAAAATTACTCTCAGTTAGATTTTTTAGGACCAATTATGCCTCTACCAAAGAATCCGCGATGTAATTTTTTTTATCGTTTACAACCGTTTTCAAAGTTATGGTACTTTTAATGGAAAAAAATTACGTGTATTGAAAACTTTGAATGTTCACCGACACCTAAATACCTCTCTAAAAATTCCTGCCTTCTGGGGATATTTTTTTCTCTTGTTATTAAGTCATTAACCCATTAAATTCCATAGATATTTTTTTGGCTCAACTTAACCAACAATGACATGAACAGACTTATTCATGAACTAAAAAATATCCCCAGAAGACAGGATTTTTAGCTCAATTTTAAAAGGTGTCAGTGAACATTCAAAGTTTTCCATTTAAATAACACGTAAAAGATCTTTTTCCATTAAAAGTACCATAACTTTGAAACGGTTTACGATAAAAAAATTTACATCGCGGATTCTTGTAGACCATCAAATTTCCTAAAAAATCTATCTTAGAGTATTTTTTTTTCAATTCAATAATTCGTATATTTTAAAACTTTGAAAGGTGACAAAAACCAAAATATGCGAAAAAATATCAATAATTTAGTGTATATTGATTAAAAATTTTTATATTTAGCATTGAATTGAAAAAAATTACTCTCAGTTAGATTTTTTAGGAAATTATGCTCTACAAGAATCCGCGATGTAATTTTTTTTATCGTAAACCGTTTCAAAGTTATGGTACTTTTAATGGAAAAAAAAATTACGTGTTATTTAGAAAACTTTGAATGTTCACCGACACCTAAATACCGCTAAAAATCCTGCCTTCTGGGGATATTTTTTTCTCGGTTATTAGGTTCATTTTAACCCATAAATTCCATAGATTATTTTTTTTTGGCTCAACTTAACCAGCAATGACATGAACAGACTATTCATGAACTAAAAGGTATAATTATTAGATATATTGGCAATGTTGTCGAAAGTCACTGCCGAGTCCCTAGGTTTATAAGTTACTCTAAATTTGGGTAAATAAGGGCATCTTAGATCAGGAGCAATTGAATTCTCTTAATGCTATTGAGCTTAATGGCTTGCCAAAATTTGATAGTATTAGTAAATCATATTCAGATCGATGTAGAGAGAGAAGTTAACCGTACATAGTAATTATTGTTTTTTATTAGTTGTAATAATACTATTAATGCCTGCCACCTGTTCAGAAATCTCAACAACAACGGTTCGGTCATTATATCGCAAAGAATCTTATAATGACACGGAAACTGTTCGTTTTAAGATACTCTAGATTTGTTAAACAGAATTCTTGATTTTGCAGGTTTCATATAATAAGATTACTTTCCATATCATAACAATTTTCAGGAAAAAGGTAATTTAAATATTGGTTTGTTTATTTTGCTGTATAATCTTTAACATGCAATCAAAAAACAGCAATTGTAGCAGTGCTGTAAAATGCCCAATAGATTGATAGAAATGAGGAAAACTTTGTATTGAAGATATTGTAATAATTCCTTTTACAGGAATTGGTAATTTCGTTGACGTTCTTATTTTTATTTATGCAGTTGTCGTGCTAATGTTGGTGCATAATTACCATGCAATTTTACATTTTAAAAATACCTTTTATATTTCAATGTACCTATTGTTAATATAACGTTTAGCTATGGCGGCGTTATCTATATTTGTCGTACAAAATGTCACATGATCTTACTTATTCCGAACAATTTATTGTATTTAACCATTCAGGCAAGTAGATACCTAATGTTTTACGAACTTTAAATACGAAATGTATTTCTTTTTATAAAATAATCGATACTTACAATTAGTCCTATTAATCATTGTTTTATTATTGTTTATATTATGTAATTAATTACTAAATGTTTATAAACCAGTAATCATTTTATCATGAGTTTTAAATGAGCTAAATAATAATTATATAAACAAAAGATTGCTCTAAAAGTTTGACTTGCTCTAAATTTAGGTGTTATTAATATTTTATATAACTTCCGAAAATTCTAATTGTATTAGTATTCCACTTGAACATAAATCCTAAAACTATTTATTCGATTAAGCGGTATTTTGCAAGGATTTTACCTAATCTTGTAGAGTTTATTTTTTTTATCTATTCCGCAACGATTTATTGTTTGATATTTTCAAACACCGTTTACAGATAACTTATCTAATTAGATTAGCTTTAGAGATAATATAATCGCATTTTTCGTTGATTTCCAAGAAGGTCATGATTAACTAATTCTATTTTCGTTTTCCAGATCAGTCCAAAATGGACGACAAGAAGTGCGCGCCGCGATTCGGCGGTTCCAAAGTCTCGGAAATCGCCAACATTTTCCAGAATCGCGCGCCCAATCAGAAGGAGGACGTTTTGTTCGTCCCTCTACGGAAAACAACCAAGCTCAACAACAGCTCGTCGGAGAAGCTAGACGTCGATTCTCCAACGGTTACCGTCATGAGGACCGAATCTCACGTGACCAGGTTCAATAATGCTCGGGCAATGTTCGAAAAATTGGGCTCAGAGGACCAGGCGAAGGTAGTTTCGAGAATAATACCTTTGCAGAGCGTCAAGAGCGCGTCCAACGTCTTGGACAGGTCGAGGAGCAGTTCCGCAAACAGTGAGACTAGGGAAACAAAGTCTCAGAGTTCGCGATCGCCTTCTCCGCCGAAAAACCACGAGAAATTCAGCCGGAGCACGCCCATTTTGAATAACGAGAACGAAAATAAAAAATCTAACGGTTTCTCAGGTGGTGAAGCGATCAGAACCAATGGCAATGACGAACGAAGCAAACCGATGTTGATGAAGAAGCCAGAAAAGCCCGAGAAACCTGAACGCAAGTTTAACAGTAAAGAGCTCATCGAACGCCAAAGGAATTGGACTTCTCACTTCTCGAAAACGCGCGGTTCAAGATACAATAGCGATCCAAATAAATCTGAGGTGAAACTGGCTGTGAACAGCCGAGAACCGTCCAGCGAACCTTCGAACAAATCCGTTTCAGCCGCTGCTACTAGGAGCGCTTCTTTTAACAACGCGCGAATTATAAGTCCTCCTACCTCACCTCCTCCAGACCCTCCCATCCGAACTGAAGCCTCCCGAAGACCTAACGTCACTAGAAAAGAACGTCCAGCTTCGGTCATTCCTACCACCACCTACACCAGCACTCCTAATATTTCCAAAACTAGTCCCACATCTCCCAATAACGAAGTGAGTAACAAAAAAGAGAAGCGTTCTAGTTTAATCCTGACTCCTACGTCATCGGCGCCGAAGTTTGAGTCTTCTGTGGAAAAGAAGGAGTTTGTGCCGAAGTGTCTGTTTCGGGAGGAGAAGAATAATGATAATCTTCACATTCCTGCGCCGAATTACGTTCCGAAATCGCCGTTGGAGGATAATGACGCGAGCAGGGAGAACCTGTCGGGTACTTCGGGGAGTTTGTCGTCGCTGAGTCCGCCGAGCAGTCCGAGCAAGTTGAGATCCGAGCAGGAGAAGCAGGAGGAGGAGAGTAACGAGAAGTCGATATTAGGTAAGTCAGATTATTTAAGTAAAAGTTTTGTATCATTGGAAAAAAACATAATATTCTCTTAAGAATTGCATTTGAATTGAAAATTCGTATTTATAGAGTATAAATGCTAAAAGATCTAGTTAATGCCAGTAAACTTGGCATTAACCAGATCTTTTTTCTTCAATTTTATCTCGGTTGAAAAACTATGTCGATATTATATTGGACGGGTGTAAGTAGGAAATCTCCGTCGTGCTGTTCCAAAGCAAGAATATAAAATCTAATTTCCGCACAAACGCAGTCACTACAATGTGGGCACTGTTACTTGTGAGCCGCATGATAGGCATGATCTTGAGAAACAAGATGAGTGCAAGGAACGCAAACACAAGCACGAACGTCAGACTGAATGTGGAGCTATCTTTAAGAGATCCCATCTCCGTAAAGAGAGGTTAAAAACTTATCTTAAATACTTAACTTTTTTACAATGACAATGACAATTTAAATTTTTACTGCACTTTGGGATAAAGGGGAATTCTTGAGCCAGAATGTTTTTGCCTCTTTTGGTATTTTCTACTCTACGTTCTTCTGTTCGAAATGTGTATTAGTATTTTTCCAGAAATGTTTTAAATAAGGCATCCTATTGTTATGTTTATTAAAATCAAAGAAGCTACAACCAAACATTTTTTGCGTACCAAATAATTTCTGCCTACAGATGCCTGAGTAATACATTTATTTATATTAGTGTGTACCAGCGACTTCGTTCGCGTCGAATTAATCATTTGTAACGGTTATCATAAAGCGAAGCAAGAATTTCCATTAACATACAAACTGGATAAAATTTTCTCACATTTATGTCAGCATGAGAAAAAACAATATGGCGATATTTTTATATAACTTGGTAATATTTGAAGGGTAGTTTCAACTCGTTGGAATTTGACTTTCGAAAAATCCGCTTGCCAAAAATAAGCTTTTTACGTCAAGCAGTTTAATCAGAATCGTGGTTAAGAAATTACCCAACTTTTTGGAACACCCTGTATGATTTTTTAAAAAATTTCAAAATATGTAAAACCAAATAAATTATGCTTGTCCAAGCGTTTTCCCGAAAGACTAACCGTTTTTTAAATATCAAATATTGTAATATTTGAGGGGCGTTTTCACCTTCTTGGAATTTGAGATTCGAGAAACCCCTTCTTATCGAACCTCTACACCCCACAGTCAATCCGTTTGCCAAAAATCAGCTTTAAACGTCAAGCAGTTTAAGCAGAATCGTGATTACTCAATGGTCATATTTTAATATAATAATATAAATCTTAAAATCTGTGTGACAGCTAGGAAGTTGACTTCTATTTTTTCATGATAATGAAGTAAACAAAATAAGTACAAAATGAATCTAACTTACTGATATTTATGATACGATATTTACCATGAATAGAAATAATTAATAAATGTAAAGTATAAAGAAATTATATGACATTTCTAGAGAATTTTATAGAACTAAAGCCCAATTTAAAGGTGCGTTCACACCGGCTGCGCCGTGCAAAACATTTTTTTAACATGTACTTTTGAAGTATATTTTTTTTAGCGCCCACAAAAGTATATGTCAAAAATTAATGATTTGCGTGGAGCGGCGCAGCCGGTGTGAACGCACCTTAAGGGTACAACTTGACAAAATGAAGAATGGATCAGTAGAATTGCTGAAGTTCTCTTTTGAATTTATATTTCTAATATTGGCTTACAAACATCATGCCAAACATTCTGGAAATTATACGGAGTAAATGTTTTCATTCTTCAGTTTGATAATTAAAATTACTATTTCTAAAGTAAAATAATGTTATGATTAGAATTTTAGACAAATATAAAATTCTATCTCATTTACTACAGGTGTTAACATATTGTAATAAATATTTAAAACTCGAGATCTTGCAGGTAATATCTAGTAGTAAAAAATAATCACCTTATTTTCAGTATTTTTAGACGTGTATTTTTTGATGTCTTCGAAAGAAAGATATATAACACTTGGTACTTTATTGCATAGACCGTGAAATATAAGTGTCTAGAACTTGTAAACACGCCGAGTCAAAAATAGGGGGGTTTTACACAGCCTGGTTCATTAAAAAGTATTTTGGGATTTAATTTAGATACAAATCTAAATATTTTAGTATTTTAATAATTTTAATATTATTAATTCGTAAAATTTAATATTGCACCATATATTATATTGATATTTTTAAGCTGTTGCGATTAGTGACCTAGGACACAGTGACGGCTCGTCAGGGTAGGCAAGGTAGGCGGCGCCCCTACCCTAAAATTTTGGCAGAATTTAAGCGGTTTATTAAAATTACATTATTTACTCTATTAATGTTGCCAATACATAAAAATACTCTTAATACACGGAAGTGTGTTTTAATAATCAATATTATTTTCATATTTGTGGTCTTGTATATTAAAATATTCACTATCGCTGGCGTACGCTGACGTTATGTCGCTGCGTTAGAAAAAATAATTTTGACCGTTGCCGTTGGAGTGCCTTTGTTCGGCGATTTCTGAATCGCCTACTATCAGAGTCAATGCACGACGTACGGTAGTCTTCTGTCTCTGCCTAACTTATCGTGCAATAGCGATGCGACGTAAGTCGGAGTTGTATCGTATTAAGGCGGGGCTTAGGCGAAATTTCCGGTCGCCTTCGCATGAAGTCGTGGAGGTTCGGTAGGCTTAGAAGTTAAGGGGATATTCCCGATATTTCATAAGGGAATATAATAATATCACATTTCGTTAAGGGGATATTTCATATGATTCATTATACGTAGCATTTAAAATTTTTATATGAAAATTCAAAAAATTGGCAAATTAGAAACATTTTTTCGGGCTTGTCCGAGATTATTCAAAATGATATAACCGGTTGTATTTCAGAACACGCCACAGAAATAAAAGAATCCGAAATAAAAAATACGCGTTATTTTATTCGGTGCAAGACAACATATATAAGATACAACAGATATTACAGAAAAGTCTCAGTGTGATACTACACTATTTCAATTCGATATGTTAATAAAAGCGGCTAAGTCAAATATCTTTGCGAATTTTATTTTATGAAATATTATATAACATTGTTATACATTTAGAAACAAGGTTTGCAGATAGGTCCTCGTATGTCTCAATTATTTTTATTTATCTCTTGCGGATCCGGCAAATAGACGCAACTAAAATTTAGTCGCCTACCCAGTCACACTGGTCACGATCCGCCACTGCTAGGACAAATCTGTGTGGAGCATCTTTAGATTCATAAAAAAGTACCAGAGTGAGGCGAAAACCACATCTGTGTACTTCTACACATTAACAAGAAACCCTGTAAAACATACGAAAATGGGACACCCTGTACATACATATTAAATTTTTTCTCATTGTAAAATACTATTTTCTATATGCATATGTTTTGAGAGAATGAGCAATTAACAGATCATTACTGGCTACGACGATTAAAGAATTTTTCGATATTTTTCGACACCTATCATGGCTAAATGTGATATCTTAATGTTTTCCTAAATTCCATTTTAGCCATCTCCAATTTTGTGTTCTTGGTTCGAACAACGAATAGCTTGTCACGAAATTTAACTTTTATCTAAAAACCAAACTATCTAATCACGAATTCTTCGCATTCTGCTATTGGCAACAATGACAATTTTTCAAATAGTTTACGCAGAAGCATTTTAAGTGCAAAAGCACGTTTCTGCCGATGAAAACTCGTTCGCATTATTAATTCTCGGTGCAGCTGGAAATTTAATTTGCCGCATTTAAGAAGAAACGCAGCAGCAGGAGCACAGCCAGACATCCATAAGAATAAATATAGTTGCCGGCCGCTAGGGTCATTTGCATCGTAGTTGTTGTTGCGTTAGAATTACGCAGAGTCGTATTATTCTTAATGTCAAGTTCATGTCAGATATTTTATATTACAGGAGTTAAGTATCAGATGTAGTTAGATACCGGTCTTGAGATGGCGCTTAAATGCAATAGTTTAAAAAATATATATATATATATATTTTAAACTACTGCATTTTCACACTACACGTTCAGATTTTATAAAAAGATAATTTCGTCAGTCTACAGTCTAGTACAGTTCCTGCCAAATCTCTGGTCTGTATACAGTTAAAAATATCAGAGATCTCATCTTTTCGATGAGATTTTTATCGAAACCGCCACTACACGTTGAGATTTGGACTGAATCGAAGGATTGCAGGTGGGACAGAATATTTCCCATCGTTCTCTGACAACAGCTGTTCATCCTCCGAGGAGCAGGCATCGATCTCCTACGACGGTATACACCATTCCACGGTTGGGGTTTAGCCCTCCGTGCCTTGCAGTCGAGGATCTTGTCTCCGGTACCTGTTAGGTGGAGGCTGGAGGATCAGTCTTCATTTTCTCCACCTCTTTAACTTGACCTCTCCTTAGACCTGATAGCGGTGTTGTCCCGGATTTATAATAGAGAATATATATCTCTTTTTCTTTTTTTTTTCCTGACCATGGCTCTCCTCCCTTGAGTTGTTGACTCGCCAACTCGATGTCCTTTAATTGGAGTTCTGGCAAAGCTGGTGGATCCTTTAATAATTGGAGTTCCGGCAAATCTAATGATACACCGCAAGGGTTAGTCGGTCTTATCAAAGTCAAAGGTTAGTCACTTATGCATTCCTCCGCATATCCGTATTCATTTGATTTGGTACCGCCATCGTAGGATTTAGGTTTTTGGTGAGGTTCTCCTCTTGGTCCGGGAGATTAAGTTAAGAACCCCCCACACACACGCTCTGCCCGTGATACATTACCACTGACCACAGCTGTCTGGTTGTCTGGTTAGTATCTACTGTTAGAGGGTGCCTGGTATGACGGACAGGGTAGCCCCATCCGGCATCGTTATACGTATACGTCTTGGTGTAATTCCGTGGCCACGATACTACAGCCACAGGAATAAGACAGTGAGATGCTCCTTAGACCCAGACTAAGTGCCAGAGGGGATTCCCTCGAGTACCTGACTA